TAAATATAGAAAAAGATGCTCAATTTACTCATAAAAAGAGGACTTCACATTAAAACAATACTGTTTTACTATTTCTGAAATGTTTTCCTGATACTGAAGTTACTATTTCTTGAATCACATCTTCTGGGGAGAGTGTGGGAAACAGGCCCTCTCAGACATTGCTGGCCAGAATGTAAATTGATACAATTGAGGAATAATTTGCATAGCCATCAACATTACAAATGTGAATCCTCCTTGAGAAGCAATTCCACATTCGGAATGCATTCTATAGTATGATCTGTGCACTTGTAAAATGACTTTAGTACAAGGTTATTTATTCTTTCTGCATTATTTGTGAAAAGATGTTTTACTATTCTCAAAATGATTCTGGACTTGATTCCTAACTCTTGCCTGAGAAAAAAAGAGGGCTTGTCAATAATAGATGCTCATGGTTTGGCCTTGGCACTGCTCAGTTAGAGATAGTAATGCAAAATCTAACCAGAACCATAAACAGAATAGCCCCGCTGAACCACTGGAGCCAAGAATGCCCAGCAAAGGTCTGAGCTTCTCTGGTCTGGGTCGTCTTCAACAACAGAATTGCCTTAGATTATTTGCTTACAGCCCAGAGAGGAAAAGAAATAAATAGTCTCTACTTCATCAGAGAGGCAAAACCATCAACAGACAGGGGAGAGATTTCACTAAATTAAGGACACTTACTAGTGGCAATTCTCAAGTACACTGCTTCGCACATTGAAAAGCACTTAAATAGCTATTTATTTTGCTGCATAAAATACATAAAAATAAAATGACTTAGTACCTTAACAGATTATAAGGCTATTAAGTATATGAAAGGCTTTAGCACTAAACCATGTCTGCTCAAAACACAAAACTCACTACACAGATCTAATGCTATTTCTTGAAAGGGTTGGTAATGTTTTAAATGGGAAAAAGGTAAAAGCTTACAAAAGGCAGAAACTGTGAAAAATGTGTTGCTTATATGACCTTTGCTCTGCCTTCTGTTGAGTATGGACAAGGATTATCTGGATTATCCACAAGACAATGAATCACCCAGCAGATACAGGACGAGATACCAGACCAGTCCAACTGCAAAGTGGACAATGGGCCAGGCAAAGTACGTCAGCAGGAACTGCTGGAAGCTAAAAGTAGAGTACATAACCTACACCCCAACTGTGATTTGATGCTGAACCCTTTTCGGCTCAGCCCACCTGCACCCAGGCACATGCAATAAAGCCATTTTGCTCTACATGGGCCTTATGTTGTAGATGTGATCTCCCGCCAGCTCAGACTTTTTATTTCTCATTTTCAAATAAACGTCAGCCTTGAAACAATCTACTTTCTCAACAGTGTCCAGGAGTGATTGTTTATTCTAGTGCCCTTGGACCTTAGTCTCCATTTTCTGTTTTTCATCTCCTGGAGCCTGGCTTGAATTACTATTTACTGAAAATAGCAAACTACAGATTTTTTACATCTAACAGTGCCCTCAGCGAGAATGACAACTTACTATATATAACTAAGCAAATTATATTACTATAAAGTCAAATTATGATGAGTTCAGACTAGCTAGATGATTACAAATCAGGGTCACTAGTCCATCTACCAAGAACATGCTGAATAATAAAATAGATAACTCTTATTAGTTATCTATCATGTCTAGTCATTTCAGATACATGTTCTTTAAGCCTCGCAACCTGGCTGCAGGTAAGTATACACATCCCTACTCAATAGTTTAAAAAATGAGGCTGTCCTTCACCCCCAAATCCAACAGCAAGGAAGTGACAGAACTTGATATAAACTCTGTTTTTTTCTGACTCAAAAGCCTATGTTCTTACTACACTGAGATTTTGTCACACACTACTGCTTTTCACTTTAATGTACACTTGTGCACTCTGGGTGTTTTTATCTGAAAGCTGCCTTAATTCCTACTTTCAGAGAGTGGGAGGGAGAGAGAGGAGCAGAGAGAGAGAGAGAGGATACAATTAAGGTAGCATTAGATTACTTACAAAACTGTGCCACTGGTTTTAAGTAATTTTAAAACTTCCAAGAAGCATTTAAATTATTTTTCAAATAACAGCCTTATTTATGTTTTAGTTGATGAACTATACAAAGTTTTCAGACATTACTTATTGAATTCTAGCAAGTTTTAATTTTTCTCAAAAACATAGAGGAATATACCAAATACATTTTTAACAATTATTATTAAGAAAATTTTTTGTTTTTATCCTCACTCCTTCCTTTCCCTGATCCCGTTCATGCTATACAGTAGTGTGCCTGCCTCTTGCTCCTGCCCGTAGACATATAAACATATACCAAGGACCACAAACACTCGAGTTCCTGATGACCTCCTGTCTACAAAGTTAAAGGATAGTGCTTTTTTCTCTCTCTGCCCATTATGGAAGGAATTTCAGATAGGGATCAGTCAAGTCCCCTGACCTACAGAAAAACTGTCTTTGAGCAATGCTGCTCACTTGAATTAAAGAAATTTCAGTGACTTAATATGAAATTTTTTATGCAAATTTGTGATTGTGGTTTAAGAGGGGCTACACTAAATATACAAGGAATTAATGCAACATTCGAATGAGGAATACCAAGAGTTTCTACAACACCACAAATCTAGGCAATTTGGGAGGACTCCACTTTTAAGATTTTGCTGTTAGATTGGCAAGGGGTGATGTAGCAAAGACAGTTAGTGTTCACCAAAGACTCCATAACTTCCTCTACATTTCCCAGCTTTCCTTGCAGATAGGTTGAGGCCATGTGAATAGTTCTGGCCAAAATGAGTAGATAGCACATTTGTTTCTTTCAGGTCTAGAAAATCAAAAGCTGGTATTCCTCCTCCATCTCCATCCCTTTCCTGCTATAATGACCTTGGATTGGAAGCTATTAGTCACAAGAGGGAGGACAGTTGCCAGATCCACATGGGAATCTATGAGAGCAAAAAATGCAATTTCATGTGCTAAACCACTGAGATGTCAGAAATTATTGGTACAGCATGGTCTATCCCGTCCTGATGGACATAAATGATATTCAGAAAATTTAATAACTGGTACCAAATAAGCACTGACCTAACAGAATGAGTGCAGTGACCAATGGGAACAGGTATTGGCTATACTTAACTGGTATGGCCATATGAGTCTATACCAACTCAATAGCCTAGAAAACAACCCTACAAATTTATCCCAATTTTATGCTTGATGAAATTGAAGTTCAAAGAGGGCCAAGTAGCCTGCCTAAAATCAATACTTGTAAGTGATATTCAATCCTGCTCGTTTTGATACAAAGCCCACTGTCTTTCTACCTCAATACTCTGTTTCCTACCTGCTGAATGATGCCTAAATTACCTCAACGCCTTGTCAAAAGTTAGGCTGCAATAGAACTATCCAAATAGCTTAATTGTTTATCTAAACCATGACAGCGTGGCCCAACAGTGTATGTTTATTATTGTTGAGTGTTCTTTAACTTGAACACACTCTTGTTTCTGAAAGGGTCAGTAATGTTCTAAAGGGTAAAAGTAAGAGCTTGCAAAAGGCAGAAACTGTGAAAATTGTGTTGCTTGCATGACCCTTGCTCAGCCTTCCGTTGAGTAGACTATCTGGATTATCCACAAGACAGTGAATCACCCAGCAGATACAGAGCGAGATACCAGACCAGTCCAACTGCAAAGTGGACAATGGGCCAAGCAGAGTACGTCAGCAGGAACTGCTGGAGCTAAACATAGAGTATCTAACCTACACTCCAACTGTTATTCAAGGCTGAACCCTTTAGGCTCAGCCTGCCTGCACCCAGGCACATGCAATAAAGCCATTTTGCTCTACATGGGCCTTGTGTTGTGGATGTGATCTCCCGCTGGCTCAGACCTTTTAGTTTCTATATAGAATGTCAGAATTATTGCTTGCCTTTTCTTTTAAAAAATTTTTGTCACTATTTATCATTAACCCTGAACTGTATTTTTTAAAGTTGGTACACCCAACTTTATGATATGATATATATTTAAAAGGTAAGAAAAAATTAAACTGGACGAAATGTTTGGCTTTTGGCATAGTTCTTTTGCTCCTGCTGCTCTTTTTTATTTTCTGCTGCTCATTCATCATTTAAATTCATAAGTCTCTTTTCTCCATGACAGGATAATCATCTCCACAGCAACTGCTATATCACAAAGGACGATGCCTGTGAGTGAGAACTGATCAGCAGGAGCTGAGCAACACTTAAGCAACAGAGGTTCTGTTTTCATACAAATATCTCTAATTATAATAAGCTAAGGAAGAAATGTATCAGTCCCCCCCCCTTTTTACTACCTCCCCTAATACAAACAGAGCTATCACTACGTAGGTTCTCACAAAAATAGGGTACCTTCAACCACAGACAGATTTAAAAAGAGCATATTCCTATGCAGAGATGATACCACCTGTTATTGCAAAGCAAATAAGACTTTACTGAAGGATCAGGGATAATACAATGAAAATACAACACTAAAAGCAACTGATTACAGGCTACTTGATAATTGCTGCTATCAGGCCTACAAGCTTCGCCGATGCTCCTAGAGAAAATTTCATATGCCTTTACACCTAGTTTCTGACATGGAGACATGTGCAGAAGCTAGCTTTAGCCCTAGCAGGCCAATTATCCTCAGGCACAGTGCCTAAGGCCCATTATACTTTTAGGGACCCATGAAAATATTTTAATTTTGACTTTTTAAATGGAATTTTTAAGTGGATATAATTATAATAAATATGTATAAATTATCATAGTGAATCAATCCTGGATTACACATCACAGTCACAAAATAAAATGTGTATATGTGTATAGAGCAGAATAATTAAATAAAAAATAGACCCACATATTTACAGCCTACTGAGTATTTTGGTGGTGGTGGGGGGCGGGGTTTGGGAGATGGAAGAGGGCAGAGGGAATAACTGGTAATGGAAAAAAATGAATTTAATTTAAAAATTAAAAACTGTTGTTGGGACAACTGGAAAAAAATGTATGAAAAAAATAAAATTTGAGGACTTGCTTTGACAGCTCATATACTAAAATTGGAATGATACAGAGAAGAACAGTGTGACTTTTGTATGAGATGACATGCAAATTCTTGAAACGCTCCATATTTTTCAGAAAGTTAATCGTAAGTGTTCTCACCACACTCACAAAAAATAGTAACTATGTAAGGTGATAGATATGTTAATTAGCGTGATTATATTAATATGTTTATTAAGCATACATACATTTTTTAATTAGAGCAATCTGATTAAATAATGGGCAAACACCTGAACAGGTACCTCACCCAAGAAGATATACAGTTGGCAAATAAGCATATGAAAAGATGATCAGTATCATATGTCATTAAGCAATTTCAAACTTAAACAATAATGAGATACCACTAACACCTATTAGAATGGCTCAAGTCTAAAACACAAACACCAAATGCTGGCGAGGATGTGAAGCAACAAGAACTCCCATTCATTGCTCATGAGTGTACAGCCACTTTAGAAGACAGTATAACAGTTTCTTACAAAACTATACATATTCTACCATATGATCCAGCATTTGTACTTCTTGGTACTTATTTGAATGAGTTAAAAAGTTATGTCCACTCAAAAACCTGCACATGGATGTTTATAGCAGTTTTATCCATTAATTGTAAAAACATGGAATCAAACAAGATATCCTTCAGTAGGTGAATGGATAAACAAACTGCAGTGTATCCAGACAATGGAATGTTATTCAGTGCTAAAAAGAAATGAGCTATCAAACCTTGAGAACACATGGAAGAACCTTTAATGCATATTACTGAATGAAAGAAATCAATCTGGAAAGGCTACATATTATATGATTCCAACTAAATGCCATCTGGAAAAGGCAAAACTACAGACACAGTAGAACAGTGGTTGTCAGGGGTTGTGGAGAGGGAGGGATGAATAGGGAGAACAGAGAGGAATTTTAGGGACTTGAAACTACTCTATGATACTGCGATGGTGAACAAATGTCATTATATATTTGTTCAACCCACCGAGTATAAATCACCTAGAGTGAACCCTAATGTAAACTATGGATGTTGGTTGATATTGATGTGTTCATTGATTGTAGCAAATGTACCAACTGGTGCAGGATGTTGATAGCGGGAGAGGCTATACACATGTAGTGGTAGGGGATGTACAGGAATTCTTTATACCTTCTGATTAATTTTTCTGTTAACCTAAAACTGCTCTTTAAAAAGTCTGTTTGAGCCCTGGCCAGTTTGGCTCAGCGGTTGGAGCGTCGGCCTGCGGTACAGAGAGACCCGGGTTCGGTTCCCGCTAAGGGCACGTACCTCGGTAGCAGTTTGTCCCCGGCCCTGGTTGGTCGTGCGGGTGGCAGCCACTCGATGTGTCCCTTCACGTCGCTGTTTCTCTCTCTCTCTTCCTCTCTCTCCCTCCCACTCTATCTGAACAACAACAACAAAAAAGTCTGTTTGAGAGAACTTCCGGTCAAGATGGCGATGTAGGTAAATGCGGTATCGCGTCCTCCCACAACCACATCAAAGTTACAACTAAACTACAGAACAACCATCACTCAAAACCACCTGAAATCAAGCTGAATGGAAGTCCTACAACTACGGAATTAAAGCAGCAGCCACATGCAGACTGGTAGGAGGGCGGAGGCGCGAGGGGCGGCAGCGGCGGCCCAACAAGCTGGTCCCACACCCACGTGTGGCGGATGAAATCAGGAGGCTACCTCGGCTGGGAAGGTCCTTCCTGAGGACTGAGGGGTCCCCGGCCCACACCAGGCGCCCCGCTCAGGGTTCCAGTGCCAGGAAGAGAATCCCCATCACTTCTGGCTGGAAAAACCAGCAGGAACTGAGGCTCAGGGAGGCTGAGGCGGCTGGAGCCCCAGGCAGCTCCTTAAAGGGCCCGCGCACGGACTTAGCGGACTCTCTCCCTCTAAGCTTGAAGGGGAGGCAGCTCAAGGGGCACCAGAGACATACAGGGAAGAACTAAGCTGTTTGGCACTGGAGCAGGACTGGAGAGGGGGCTTTCTCCAGGACCGATGTGCTATCAGAGGCCTTTGTTCCTTTGGTGAGCCCTTCCTGGGGCAGCAGACAGTTGCCATATCTGGGACTCCAGCAACCTGGCTCACACTGGTAGCCCCGCCCTGGTGATTCCCTGAGGCCCCGCCCCACCCAACTTTCAGGCCCACCCAAGCTGTTGCCACTTGCTTAACCATAGGATTGGCCCGTCTTGGATCCTGCTTCAGGTTTTCCTAAATTCTTTCAAACAAGCAGCATCTCGTCTCAGATAGCCCCATACCTCTCGTTAAGTAATACACAGAAACAAACAGAGAGGCAGCAAAAATGAGGAGACAAAGAAACAGGTCCCAAATGAAAGAACAGAACAAAACCCCAAGAAAAGAACTAAGCGAAATGGAGATAAGCAACCTAACAGATGCTGAGTTCAAAATACTGCTTATAAGGATGTTCAATGAACTTAGTGAGAACCTCAGTGAACTTAGGGAGGGCATCAAGAGCATAAACAAGGACCAGTTAGAAATCATGGATGCACAGTTAGAATTGAAGGAGGCATTAACTGAAATAAAGAATAATTTACACAGCTTCAATAATAGAGTATGTAAATCCAAGGAGCAAACCATCGATTTGGAATATAAGGAAGCAAAAAATGCCCAATCAGGACAGCAAAAAGAAAAAAGAATCCAAAAAAATAAGGATAGTGTAAGGAGCCTCTGGGACAACCTCAAGCGTGCCAACATTCGCATCTTGGGGGTGCCAGAAGGAGAAGAGAGACAACAAGAAATCGAAAACCTGTTTGAAACAATAATGGCAGAAAACTTTCCTAACTTGGTGAAGGAAACAGACATACAAGTCCAGGAAGCACAGAGAGTCCCAAACAAGATGAACCCCAAGAGGCACACACCAAGACACATCATCATCAAAATGCAAAAGGTTCAAGACAAAGAGAGAATCTTAAAAGCAGGAAGAGAAAGGCAGCTAGTTACCTACAAGGGAGTTCCCATAAGGCTGTCAGCTGATTTCTCAAAAGAAACTTTGCAGGCCAGAAGGGAGTGGCAAGAAATATTCAGAGTGATGAAAAGCAAGAACCTACAACCAAGATTACTCTATCCTGCAAAGCTGTCATTTAGAATTGATGGCCATATAAAACCTTTCCCAGATAAGAAAAAGTTAAAGGAGTTCATCACCACCAAACCGTTATTATATGAAATGATGAAGGGTCTTTTTTTTTTTATGAATTTTTTATTTATTTTTTTGTTACAGATATTTTACCTTTTTACCCCATTGGCACCCCCCACCCCACCCCACCTCCGCCCCGTCCCCGGCTTAGTTGTCCATGTCCATTGGTCATGCATACATGCATATAAGTTCTGCATACATGCATATAAGTTCTCTTCCCAGCCCCCACCCCCCCACCCCCCTACCCCCCCCCACCCCCTCTTCTGAGGGATGTCAGTCTGTGCCCTACTTCCATGTTTCTGGGTCTACTGTATTCCTCAGACTGTTATGTTCATTATATTCCGTATATAAGTGAGATCATGTGGTATTTGTCTTTTTCTGCTTGGCTTCTTTCACTTAGGATAATACTTTCCAGGTTCCTCCATGTCATCTCAAAGGATAAGAGATCTTTCTTTCTTACCGCTGCATAGTACTCCATTGTGTATATGTACCACAGCTTTTTTATCCATTCGTCTACTGGTGGACACTTGGGCTGTTTCCAGATCTTAGCTATTGTAAATAGTGTATGAAGTGTCTTTTTGAAGAAAAAGATAAAATATATGAACAAACAAAATGGCAATGAATACATATCTATCAACAATGGAATCTACAAACAAAATGAACAGGTAGAACAGAAACATTCTCATAGATACAGAGAACATTTTGTTGGTTGCCAGCTGGGAGGGGGGTTGGGGGAATGGGTGAGAAAGGTGAAGAGATTAAGAAGTACAAATTCGCCCTGGCCGGTTTGGCTCAGCGGTTAGAGTGCCCGCCTGCGGTCCGGAGAGACCCGGGTTCGGTTCCCGCTAAAGGGCATGTACCTTGGTTGCAGTTTGTCCCCGGCCCTGGTTGGTCGTGCAGGTGGCAGCCACTCGATGTGTCCCTTTCACATCGATGTTTCTCACTCTCTCTTCCTCTCTCCCTCCCACTCTGTCTGTACAAAAAATGGAAAAATGTCCTCGGGTGAGGATAAAAAAAAAAAAAAAAAAAGAAGTACAAATTCATTGCTAGACTGACAAACCTCAAAGGGAAAGGGGTTGGGGGGTGGGAAGAAATAAACCAAAGAACTTATATGCATAACCAATGGACACAGACAATAGTGTGGGAAAAGGAGGGAGGGGGGCGGGAGTGGGGAGGAGGGGGTCAAGGGGGGAAAAATGTGGAACATCTGTAATACATTTTACATCCAACAATAAAGATTTAAAAAAAAAAAGTCTGTTGAGCCCTGACCGGGTTTCTCAGTGGTTAGAGCACCGGCCTACGAACCAGAGCGTCTTGGATTCGGTTTCCGCCAGAGGCACGTGCCAAAAAAATAATAATAATAAAATATAATATAATAAAAAGTCTGTATGAGCCTGGCTGGTATGGTTCACTGGTTGAGTGTTAAGCCCTGCACCAAGAGGTTGCCAGTTCGATTCCCGGTCAGGGCACATGCCCAGGTTTTGGGCCCGATCCCCCGTGGCGGGTATGCAGGAGATTGCCAATCAATGTTCTCTCTCATTGATGTTTCTATCTCTCTCTCCTTCTCCCTCTCTCTCTAAAAATTAATAAAGGATAAAATGCAAATCAATATGGTGCTGGGAGGGTACTGGAAATAGTGGGGGGAACACTTTGTAAAGTATATGATTGTCTAACCACTATACTGTACAACTGAAACTAATATAAAGTAATATAATGTAAACTGTAATTGAAAAATAAAATTAATTAAAAAGAGTTTTTAAAATTGGGGGAGGGGGATCTTACCTTAATACTCAACACAACCAAAAAATGCAAATTATAAACTGAGAGGAAAAAAAAAAATTTAAAATATTTTTTCTTTATTGATTTCAGAGAGGAAGGAAGAGGGAGATAGAAACATTAATGAAAGAGAACATCGATTGGCTGCCTCCTG